AAAAAAAAAAAGAGTGAAACAAAATGAAAATGAAAAATACAGGGGAAGGGCGAAACAAACAGGCACACCAATAATACATTAGAAATTATTTTTTCACAGTGCTCGGTGTCTCGACCATAGGAGCTTTGAGTTTGGCCCTCTGGATGTCCTCTCCAGGGTCTTCACGCACAGCCTCTTGGGGCTCATCACTTGAGCTCCCAAAGATCGCAATCTTCGCTTCAGCAAAACTTCTCTCGCGATCTGATTGCTTGCGTTTCCCTGGTCGGTCTAGGTCCTCCAGCTGCTTTCGCATGTCTCGAGAGTACAACTCTACCATCTTTGATAGGTTTTTATTCTCGTCCCGCAATACTTCTAGCTGGTGTCGATTCACCTCCACTATCCTTGACCTCTCCCTTTTCAAGCTTTTTATAACACTCTGACAATCTTCAACTATACTTCGCTCCGCCGCCAACTGGCCTTTCAGCACCTCTACCTCATGGGACTTCGCAAGTAGGCGATGACCCAAACTTGCGACACATGTTGTACTCTGCACGCTTAGTGCCAGGGCGTCGCTCACGACCCGATTGTCGTCCCTTGTGCCCAGCACACGTATATCTTTAGGAGTCACTAGATTTCTCGCAACTCCAATGGCAACATCGTTGTCCAGGAGTATTGAGTCATTTACTGTTACAGGCCCTCGTGCGGAGGCAAAATAGGGCACCCATACTGGTGCCACTGCTTGGCCCCAAGTCTGAGTCGGTGGAGCTAAGTTAAGATCCAACGAAAATGGATAGGAAGAGGCCATTTTGATTTTTCACTCTCTTTTCTTCTTTCTTTTCTCTTTTGTTTGTTTAGGAGTTTGTGTTTTTCATTTTTTCTCTGCCTTTTATAGACTTAATTTTTTCTAAACCCTAGCCGCTGCGCTTCTGAGTTTCGCGCACCCCTACGGCTTATCTCCATCTGCCGCACCCGTCCCCCAACCCTCTTAACTGCATTTCTGCCTTTCAGCGCTTTCAAGAAATAAAAAGTCGCCGCGCCTTCCTACGAAGCCAATAATTCTGGCTTGGGGGATGTAAAAGCGGCCTCTGCACGCTGACATGTCCCTCACCTCTTTTGGCCCGTGACCTATCAGTAAACGAGACATCCGGCCCCTCTTCTCTCTTTTCAGAAATCTCGTTCCTTGCGCTTCTGACAACGCTTCTTTGTTTTCTTTAATTTTTAATAATACTAATAATAATAAAAGAAGTGTTTGGGCTTTCGTTTGGGTTGGGTTTTCAATTGATTTGAACGTTCTCATGGGCTGGATTTCTGCGTGCGTAGAACTGTTGTTAGGGCTTACTGTTGTATTTAGTTTAGTTTTGTTCCGTTTGATTTTGTTTTGTTTTTGCAACTGAGTTGTAGTTTTAATTCTTGTTTGTTCTTTTATTTAATTACTTTAAATCCCTTTCATTTCTTGTTATAACTTTGCTGATGCCTAAATTTTTCAACATTGAGGACAATGTTTATTTCTAAGTTTGGGAAGGGATAGCAAGTCTTATTTTCGTTTCACTTAATTTCTTGCTTTCTTTTAGTTTGTTTTCTTTTCAGTTTTGAGTCATTTTGTTTTCAAGTCACTTTCCGGACACATAAGATGAGATTGTGATGAATGTTTACATGACTTGATTGAAAATGTCTATATAAAAATAATAATAAAAAATTATTCACTGAATGGCATCGTTCTAGCATGATATGTTTGAACCACTCCATGCACTTGCCATTTGTTTCATAATTCTCCAGTTAAGGGACTTGCATGATCCAAAGAATTGTATCAAGCATGAATTAGACTTGTATAACCATATAATGTGAGCTTTGAGCCTTGTGCTTCATTTCATGAGTGTTATACACATATTCTTATTTTCTTGTCATCCAAGTTGTTGTTTGATCTCATTATTCATTGACTTGGTTGAGCACTTAAAAAAACATTCATTCTTGTGCAATTTGATTACATGACATTTGAGAAATGATATTAAGGCCCTCTTTGAACCGTTTGTGCCTTTCAAACTAACCGTATGCATGCTTAAGCATGATTTTCCATTGTAACCACTTTGAGCCTACATGTAAGCCTTTTCTTTCATTTAACCAATTATTAGTCTCAGCCTTAACCTGAAAAACAAGAATTTACCTTTTTAAGGAACTCATGAGCTTTAGTTTGGATGTGTTTTTTATGCTAAGTTTGGGAAGAGATATTACTTAAATAAAAAATAATAATAATTAAATTAAAATAAAAAAAAGAAGAAGAAGAACTTCACTCAAAGAGTGAAAGAAAAGAGAAAAGTTGTGGTTAAGTGACATTGGATTCAGATTTCGAGTCCAAGTTTCTTTATTGGCTTCAAAAAAATAAATTGATGGTTGTTCAAATAGAAGAAAGGAGTGTGAATCAAAATAAATGGAGGTGTAACCACTTTGAGCCTACATGTAAGCCTTTTCTTTCATTTAACCAATTATTAGTCTCAGCCTTAACCTGAAAAACAAGAATTTACCTTTTTAAGGAACTCATGAGCTTTAGTTTGGATGTGTTTTTTATGCTAAGTTTGGGAAGAGATATTACTTAAATAAAAAATAATAATAATTAAATTTAAAAAAAAGAAAAAAGAAGAACTTCACTCCAAGAGTGAAAGAAAAGAGAAAACTTGTGGTTAGGTGACATTTGATTCAGATTTCGAGTCCAAGTTTCTTTATTGGCTTCAAAAAATAAATTGATGGTTGTTCAAATAGAAGAAAGGAGTGTGAATCAAAATAAATGGAGGTCTCTTCAGAAAATGTGCAGAAAGATTGTTTTGAGTTTTTATTTTTGAATTTGTTTTTGTTTTTGTTTTTATTTTTGTTTTTGCTGTTTTGCTTAAAGGACTAACACAATCTTTTAAGTTTTCTAATTACTTTGTTTTACAGAGTCAGTAAAACGTTTGTGGGTATCGTATCTGTTAAACCCTCAGGAGACACAACTCCTCCTACTAGGGATGCCTAGAGGTTTAAAGGCTTGTTGCATTCGCTCAATGCAATCGAGATCCCTGCGAAAGTGGCTTAGTTTTCTTTTCTACTTAGTTTTAATTTTCTTTTGCTTGAGGACTAGCAAAATATAGGTTTGGGGGTATTTGATGAGCACAAAATTAATACAAGTTTTATCCTTAAATTTATATTTGTTAGTACTTTCTTTTGTATTATGTAAATCTATTAGAGTATTTGTATTGGCTATTTCCAATCTTTGTTTTTGTATTTAATGAGTGGTTGTTTGTAGATATTAAGTGTCTTCCACCAATGGCATGAGGAGGAGGAGGAATAAGCAATGTGTTGCAAAAAGAGAGGAAGAACTCAAGTTGGATTTGATGACTTTGCCTTTTACAGCTCATGCTGTACAGTCCATTTGCAGGCCTGAAAAATAAAGGGGCTTCATGCTTCTATAAATAGGCAGCAACTCAAGAGAGTGGTGTGGAGATTAGAAATTCAGGAGAAACACACGGCAAAAGAGAGAGAGAAAGAGTGAGGAAGAGAGAGAACAATGATGGAAAGGAAAGAACCAAGAGCTAATAACTCTTTTAAACTTGTTCTT